GGCTTTCGTTTTGTCAAGCAACTGGGAGTATTATTCTTAAAAAAATTCTTTAAAAGTATGAAAGGCGGTAATTCATTTCTGCTCAACAATGAACTACTAAATAAAAACAACTGGTCAGCTAAAACTCCTTTCGATAGTATAGAGAGCCAGAGTCTAATATACTTATTACTTTACTAAGTTAGTTGGTTAAAGCAAGTGAACCCTTCTAGAGGAGCTCGATGACGCGGGTGGTTAGCACGTTCGGCTGCGATCGTTGAAGTTAATCACCTTTCCTCTGGTTGAATCGACCCCTTCAGGTTCAAGTGGTCTAGAGACTCCGGACGGAGAGGAGACTCCCCCCGTGGGGTGACGCCATCCGCCTGGAATACTTCTAGAGGCACTCGCCAATTCTCGGCTTGAGGTCCCCTTAGGATCTCGCCGTCACCAAATACGGTGACACTGTAAAGGTCATTTGCGACCAACAGCAGACACACTCATAAATTTGCGAATTTCGGGTAAACTACAACTATCCAAAAAAATTCTATGGCAAATTCTAGGTAATCAAAAGATCGTACCACTTTCGTATTTACATTTTTTTCACATATACTAAAAATATCTGCAAAAAAAAACAAAATGATGATCAAGCAACGGACTAAGTGCATCAACAATAATAAAACCTGCATATTTTCTTTAAATATATTTTTTTAATACAATATCATTGGAATTTCTTATACAAAACGGCTAATGTATAGGTGATCTAATTTTAATAGTAAATCCCTTTTAATAATGATTGTTGACACTAGTAATATGTTGCGTATATAAAATATGTGGCTATTAGATGGAAAAGTGAAATATGATGATATTTATTTATCTGGGGAACGCTGTTGAATGTTCATTAATCTTTCAACTTAGCAAAGAAATTATATAGCTTCCTACTTTTTTATGTCCAAAATACTTTATAGTTTACAAGAAAAAGTTTTAATACTAACAAATGCTATTAACCTTCAGTTCGCTGTTCACCTTTTGTCTATTGTTGCAAATGTAGTTATAAATTTTAAAATACTATTATTAAAAAAGAACAGAATCCCTTTGAATCAAATTACTAAAATCTTCCATTAATGACAGAAATACATTACTGTATTATAGTTATAGCTCCGAGATCGTCAAGAGAAACATACCTGACACTGTGATGATTAATTCAAACAAATGTAGAACAAACTTCATCAACTACGATAATGTCCCCCTTATCACATTATTTACATCTGACACACGAGATATGTAGAATACGCAATTTTTGAAATTTGGACAACATCACCATATTTAAATGAAACAAATTGATTCCAAAAAGTTTGCACACTCGCTCACTTTAACACTAAATATTGAATTGAGAATATATAAAAGAAGTCGGTGCTCACTTATCGAGGTGTAAATAACGAATTCCTGAAAACAATTCAATATCTCATGTTTTATCTGCAACACCTTTTGACTGATTAGATATTGGCGCCTTCAAGGATCGCGATTTTTTCGAGAAAATCTAGGTACTATTTGGTACTTACTACATATTGATGACGAATACTAAATATCCGAATCGAAGATTATTCTTCAATGATGGGCTCTGATTTGAACTCTTTATTTATTTATCACTTTATAAAGAATATAATCTAGGTATAATACCTATATAATAAAAGGGTAAAGTTTTTTTATATGAAGTTATCTCTGAAACTATTTATAAAATTATTTCAACAGTGAAAAGCTATCTTATTCTGAATGATAAATTGAAGTTTTTATTAGAAATTGTCCAAAGAAGAGTCGTTTTCCAGTATATTTAATCGGTAGTAAAAATAGTAGCATTGTATCGGGCCGGGTAACGGGTCTCAATGCAGGGTACCCGGCAGTGCTAGGTAATTTACTAAGAGAAAAATAATGACTAATATTAATTGAACAATACATCTATTGGGCAAGGAAAATACATACAGATAGTTCTTATAGGTTATTAATATTTGTAATTTAAAATTGGCAAATTATGATGTAAGAAAACCAGTTTTTCTGAACGATTGGCATCGAGTCTATTTCTTTTCTTCTCGTAAATTAATCCTGCTCCCGATAATAACCTTTCGTTGTATATAGACCATGCAGCTGTATATAAACATTTAGCTTAGTCGCAACTTTTTGCAATATCACCTCAGCGCTGCCGGGTACCGGGGTACCTGGCGTTAGTAATGCCTGGTACTCGGGTGCTGGGAATCCGGCAAAATCATTACCCCTCCCATTGTCCATTATAAAGTTGAGGACTATATTGCAGATAAATATACCTACTTTGGATTAGGTTTGCTCTGCGCTATACATATTATGTTTTTATTTTGGTTAGTTACTACTTTCAGGGCTATGTATTTATATCTGTATGTATGTATATTACGCCGGAAAGTGCCTGCAAAGGTTTATGACGAATAAACTTATTGTGATTTGATTTGATTTCGTAGAATTAAATACCTATTTAAAAAAGTTTTTCAAAGGTCCTGGTTGAGGCATGTTTTATCACATAATATTCATTCTAATCCGTCAAGGTTAGGTGTGTTAGTGACTGGTAGTTCTTCCATATTTGGCTTTTGTCGAGCTTATTTGCCTCCGATAACTTTAGATACAGATTTTAATAGATAAATTCTATTCCTACAAAAGTAGACAGTAAATATCATTATGATGAATACTTTCAAATCAGGCATATCCTTGATAAGGGCTGACTGACCGTTCCCTTAGGACATATTTAGGTGCGTAAGTTAAGGCCGTTGCATTTATATTTATGTTAAAATGTCATATAAGTAACTTATTCCGGGGTAAAGGTAATTTTTTCTCGCATAAGTGTGAATTATTTCTCTGTAGATCTCAAACTTTGTAATTAAAGTAAAACTCGGGCGAAGTCGAGAGAAAAATATAGTTAATCTGAATTAGTTATGTGAAGACACAGAGCAAGCAGCGGCGGCTGAGAGAAGCAGTCTTAGAGACAATGCTTTTCATCAAATCATTCTGCCATTGTTTGCTCCTGGCCACTTTGGCTATGTTGCTCTATCTGTAAAAAACTATGTTGATACAGTGGAAGTACACATCTATATGAACGTTATCTTCTATACTCTCTCTACTATATCTATATGGTCGTAACTACCACATACAGAAAACAACATATTCTAACTGCTACCTGCTCTGAGATGGAAATTTTACTGCATTTCTATAAAAATAAATACTCTCTTTGGTCTGAAGCGTATTTTAGTTTTGTGGGGGTTGACTTGCGGTGCAATGGCTAAGCTCAATTGGAAGGTGGAATAGAGATCGCGATCTTAGATCGATTAATCAAAGAATCGATTTTTGGAGCCAAAAAGATCGATTTTATAAATCGATATGTAGTGCTGATTCAATTCAATGAATCGATATTTCATCCTTGAAAATCATCAAATATTTTATTTTTTGGTATAAACCAAAAAAGTATTAGCAAATAATTGTATGTACCCATATTGTTAGACTGCTGCTACTGCCGTTAAATGGTTAATTATTCAAAAATTCGCGAGATGGCTGTATGTTTGGATACATTCGCCCCTCTTATTACGTTTGTTTGTAATATTGGAATAAAACTATTTTTTATCATCGAATTATCTGATTTTACTGATGTGAGATCGTTAAATTATAATGTGTATCTTGTTTTAATAAAATAGATTTTTACTTATTAGATTATAAAAACATACTTTTAACAAAAATCTTCTTTCAGAAATTTTCAGAAATCGATCTTATTCGATTTTATCGATATTATTGGCCTCGATTTTTTTGTGGATTGATACATTAGGTCACGAGACAAATTGATTTAAAAATCGATCTTTTTCGGAAAGAATCGCCATCCCTAAGGTGGAATTCAATAAGATGAATAAACTTCAACACAACTTAAAGCACAAATTCTAGCATCCCAAAGCCACTCCGACCCGATTAGAGAGATGTTACGCAGGTGCAATTTATTTTTAAAAGTTACTTGTTTCAAGTTGAATTATTTTAAGATATTATGTGGACTAATATTGTAAATTGCTATTAATTGACTTTCTTATGTATATATCTTTCATAAATACTGTACAATGTAACATGTTGTTATGTTACAATGCACAAGTAACATTCATCCAACGCAGCCTCACACTAAATACTACATTATTAATTAGGTACTATCATATCTTATCTTGGTGAAAATTTATCTGTTCGAGTGATACATTTTGACCCAGTTTCTAAATATACTATAATCAGGTTCTTTATTCTAAAAACTTAAGCAATTGAGATACAGCGTTCGATTTGCTAGTTTGCACGATGGCACATTGTGTTGTATGATATTGCTTGAGTATGGTACAATTAATTCCATTACAGTTAGTAGATAGGTCGTGTATTAATCTAAATTCACTCAGGTACATTAAAAATCAAATGGTCAAGGGGTAATTACAATTTCGTGTAAATCTTTTGGTTTAATGTTCAATGTGTAATAGATGTTCTGGTTTTAGGTTGCGTTCCTATAGATGACGACAGGAGCCCATTAGGTGTTAAACCTACGCTGTCCATCCGTCTGTCTGTCTTAACAGAAAATTTGTATGGAAAATTATAAGAATACAATATACCATACCCAAAAGAAACGTGATTTTTACAACATATTTTACTCGATCTATAATGTAAAAAAGAAATACAATGGAATAGAACCATTTCAGTGCGAATCTTATTTGATCAGTTTGATTCAAGTTAATTTTACTAATTTGATAACACAATTTACAGCGAAACTTTTGTTCTAAATTAAATGCGCAAACTAGACACCAACTATCCCACGCATATTAGTAAAATGGAGTGTAAAGAATTTTTTATCAATGTTGGAGACAATAGGACGCTGATATGAAATAGCTTGCGAAACACAACTTACACCAAATTTGAAAATATAAAATTGATAATTTATATTCTACGCTATACTGTAAGGAATATAACCCGAAACCATAGGCCAAATAAAAAATATTCACCTGCAAGTGTCTTGGCGATACACCGTGCTTTGACCAATAGAGCTGCTGTACGTTGGTATGCGATGGAGGCTGCTCGACGGATGAATCTGTGTCGGTCTCAGAAGACCGCTCCCACTGTAAAGCATTGGGGATTCCACCATGGAGCTGTCATAAGCACTGGTCTCATCAGTCTCTTCCTCAATGACACCAGGCTTGTAGAATATCTTCCCTGCTGAAAGTCCCGGCTTCTCCGTTTTCTTATCTTTGTCATCGCTGCGTGTTTGCATTTCAATCGAAGCTGAATCGGATGCCATCTTGTTTGGCGATTCATTCGTCAAGATATTGATTTCAGAAGGTTTTCTGAATCCATTTTAGTGGTTCGACTTATTTCCATTGGGATGAACGTTCTGTGTGGGTCAGGCATTTTGGATGTTTAGGTATTCTTAGTTTGCACCTGAAAAAGATAAACAATAACATGAGTACTTCAATATTATGTAACACTTAGGTCCTGATTACCTTATTTACAATAAACAAATTACTCTTGAAATAAGTTTTATTTTTGATATTTGTTTTTAATTAGTTGCTTCTTAACTGAAAATGTATGAAGGTTAGCTAGACTTCAATAACGCGTAAGAACTGCTATTGTTTTTCCGCTAAATTGTACTTCCAGGGCCCAAGCGGGGATACTTCACACTAGGTTAGGTTAGTGTTGTCACTATAACGTGCGAGCCGAGCGAGCAAAGAAAGCGTGCCGCGGTAGCGGCCGGCGAAGCACCTGAAAGAAAAATTCGTTAATAGAGACCTTTTCAACAAAAAAAAAAGTATCACCTCTTGGGCCCTGAAAGTACAGTTTTACCGTTTTTTCCCCAAGTGCCTATAAGATTTTTCCCCTTTCGTTACAGCAATCAATTAGTTACAAAGAAAAGCAGTTACAGCAATAGCTCTCTCTTACAGCTGGATTAGACACTTAACCAATCTTCATTAACACTTTAAGTAAAACACGCACTATAATAAAATATTATTTTAAATCTACTGCCGTCTAATGTTAATTTTGAACTATTGTATATCACATGATGAGACTCAACGACGACTAAATGCCGAGTCAGATTCAATTAGCCACTCGCATCTCGGTAGTGATTCAGTTGCGTAATTAATCAGCAGATATATAGGTGTGTGAAGACGGATCCCAGTCATTTGTCAACGGTGTAAGTTATAGGTCAGTACTGTACAATTAAAGTTAAGTCATCTCAAATAACAACCACTGGTGCACCGGCCGTGACGTAACAGTACTGTAGGTACGAGAAATAAAAACAGAAGACTATCGGCAAAATTTCTATATTATTTGATTATGTTTATTTTTAAAGAACTATTTTATTTGAGCAAATTGCTTACCTTATGGCTATTTCATTGGTGGTTAGCCCATATTTAGGTGCACTAAAGGCATTACTCGAATTCGGGCACCCGAAACAATATTTACACTGGAATATGGGCTGGAGGACGGTGTCGGGTAACTAAAACAACAACTACCATAACCCGAGCGTACTCGACTCCGTTCATTTACACTTAGTCGTTTACCCGAATTCCATTGGCACTCGAATTCGGGCTAACGGCCAAGTGTAATCGCTCCATTACTGAAGTATAGGCAATAAATACAAAAGACTATCGAAAAAAAATAATGTAGTTTTTTATATTCCTATTTAAAAAACTATTTATTTGCGCAGTGCTTACCAAAGTTCTGCCGATTGAGGGTTCGCGAATGTCCTTAGCATTTTGTTTCTAATGAGTGCAAATCATGATACCTTTATACATACTCTCAACTAGCACGCGATATTAAAAAAAACTATTAGCAGGTGGTTAGCTGCACCTGTGACTGTGACACTAATTCAATAACAACTCATAGTGCGCAATTTTTAAGCGCAACAATTTTGAACGCTTTACGTGCTATGATTATTATGAAGAAATCCCTCCCTACAATTTAGGCCTGTATTTGGCCTTAGTATGATTGAAAGTAAAATAAAATTATCAGATTCTTTGCGCTTATGTCATTCTAATTTGTATTCTTACAGCGCCATCTCTTATCGAATAGCTAGACTATGTTACATTATTTTGGATGTTAACGCAATATATAGTAAGTCAGTTATTTCATCATATAAATAAAAGTCATAACGCAAAATAAACATGACTCGGAAATCCTTAATAGCTTTACTCTGATCTCGTGAAATGGCAGCGGAACAGTTCTCAATTGCCCACAATATTGTACCCTTAAACCGTGCTAATTTCTGTGTTCCCACTAGGAACTAGCACGGAACGACCTTGCCCACCAGGATGTGTTCCATCTCCACTCGCTCTTAACGCTGCATCGGATGTGCTTATAACCCTCCCACCATCTTATTCCATATTGCGGAAAACCTCGTAAAATAATCATACAATGTTCGTACTTAAGTAGTTACAGCCATGATACAAACACTTACGTGTACGCGGAATATTCTGTTATATGTAAAAGACACATATTTTGCTGATTGTACCCCATCTGATCTTATGCGGAAGATAGCTGATGTGGCAGGAGAATCGGCATATAAATAAAAAAAAAATCTTTAAAATATATTTAAACTTAAATTTACTTTAATATTATTATACCTTAATATAAGGTCCAAAACTTGTCAAGTATTTTACACGTTGAAGAAACTGATCAGACTGATCAACTGAAGATGCTGCGCAAACGTAGAACTTATCCTATCGGATAAAAGATACCCTTTAATTATCATTTTCATATGAAAACTAATGGGAAATCAACCACTCTTTGTCAGTATCGACGGTAGCACTGGATCAGTATCAGAATAATATTTTTCAGTGCTCTCTATTCTACCTTTTCATTTCCCATAATTATTTTCGCTGGAAATCTGTTTTCAAATTCTAAATTTAATAAAAAATCTAATAACACGACACACCACATGTATTGCCCGTATTCAGTGCAATCCACTAGAAACTCTAAGTTGTCTAATGAACAAGACACAACGCTTTCCAGTCCTGTGGCGGTGTGCTGTGTCGATACCAAGTTGAGTGAACGTTTGCACTGGACCTAAACTATACGTAAGTCACATATGATTCCATTCACAAATGGCTCAGGTAACCGTACCTACACGAAGGCCGGTCGCAATTACATTGACTCTAAGTACTAGCAATTAATAATCTGTGGTAACTATCTCCCTCGAATACAGGAATGTATCTCCAATTTATTATGAATTATTTAAGACAACAAAATTTTTAGTCACTAATGTATTTGTAAATTATGATAGAATTAACTTTAATTGTAGATATCTTTACTATTGGTTGGTGGTGGCTATTCATAAAAAGTAAAGCCATTTATTTATCCTAATTAAGCTTAAAATCATAGTCAAAGTTCCAGACCTCCACGGGAAAGGGAATTTGATTCAGGCCTGCATAATGAGGAAAGCTGCAGTTGCACACTTTTCTGCCGCATCAACGATCTTCGCTACTTAATTCAAGGGGTCAATCGCCTAACGAGATTGCTATGGCTATGGCTAGCGCTTACGATTTAATTTTTTTATTTCTGACATGCCTCGCGCTAGTTTTTTTTCTTTGGCATTGGTAATAACAATTTAAAGAAAATGACCATAAGGTATTTGAAAACCTTCGGGGTTCAGAAATAACAAAATTAAATCGTAAGCGATGGCGTAGCCATAGCAATCCCGTTAGGTAATTGACCCCCAGGGATAGTTGGGAGACGTAGACTTATGTCGCAAAAATCTTTGGGAAAGAGATTGTCTTTGGCAACTGCAGACGATTGACGATTTTTACTACCAAAACAAAATACGGTGGTTTCTTAAACCCTTAGTACAGCCTCATACATGCATCATACATATGCATTTCAAAATTTCCGTGTTCGTATCACATTACCACGAGAGCGTTTGAAATATTTATGACTAAGTGACAATCCCGGCAAGCCTAGAGACATAGTAATACTGGCATAACATGAGGTCAAGCATGTCGTATATTGTCTATTAATCGGCAGTAATGGATGTTTTCAATCAAGTAATATTCCTTTAAAACACAATATGAAACTTGCATATTCATAATTATATCCGCCAAGTGCGAGTCACATACGAAGGTATTCACACCATATACACCTACACTATTAATTTCATGAAAAAAGTAGAAAATGCCAAGGCATTTTACAGAATTGAAATACATTTTATATCATTGTGTATGGAAATTTCCCTATATTTTATTTTTAGGGTTGCGTATCTCAAAATGAAATATTTTAACTGTTGATAACTTTGTTGTCCGTCTATCTGTCAAGATAAGACCAATTATCTTGATAACTTAGAGGTATTTAAAAATTTAAACCAAATACTCAAGCTCCATGACCCTTGCAGCTGTGATAAATCAAACTTCTAAGTTAACGAGAAAAAAAGATACGGCCGTCTTTCTGTCAAGAAACTTCATCTCGGGTACGCATGGTTTGGTTTGGTGGTTTCAAGTTAAAATTTCTATGGCCTCTTAAAACTGTGTATGATAAAATCAAACTTTAAAGTTAACGTGAAAAAAAAGACTACCGTTTGTCCGTCCGTCTGTCAAGACCCTTTATTTTGAAAATGCGTGGAGGTAAGGACTTAAATTTTAACAACACAACTAGGGCTATTAAAATCAGCTGTAATAAAATCAAACTTTTAAGTAAACATGATTTTTTTTGCAAAACACGTACCTATATTTTTTTTATTTCGGCATTTTAAAAGAGAGGATCATATCCGTTGCCCTAGAACTATGATATTTGGCAAGTAATATTGTCTTATACTAAAAGGGCAGGGCAAAATGTGAAACTATACATTTTTTACAATCATCGAAGTAATGTAAGGGTGACCAAATATATTGTAGATTTTTTAAACATTGACAAAAAAAAACTACTTTCAGATTCACGTTTCTATGTTTGGCAAGCTTTGTGTTAGTTACATAAGGTTATTTATTTAATGTCTATAATATATTTATAAAACTCACGCGGAACATTTATCAGCGGGCCCGTTCACCTACTTTTTTTACTTCCAACCCAAATTAAATGCTAATCATAGAATTAAATCAAAGATACACTATAGCAATTATCGAATGAAAATTACTATAACTCTTTAACGTAAGGGTATGACAACTGACAACTAATGACAGGAATTCACAGTTTAGGGTAGAGTACGCGCACTGCAAACTCGAATTACGTTGCAACTATTAACGGGCAGTAAGCATTGTGCCATAATTATGGACATTACGTCCACAACACGAGATGTCATAACAAATACCGCGCTATTCATATAAAAAACGGATACCGTGTCAGTTAAAACAAGAGAAAGCAATGCTTTTATTTGTAGGTTATCAACTTCACGGATCGTTGTTACAGTGATTTTAATTGGAGTAAGAGCAATCTGATCAATGGAACACACATCAGCC